TCTTCTTCTTCTTCTTCTTCTTCTTCTTCTTCTTCTTCTTCTTCTTCCTTCTCCTCCTCCTCCTCCTCCTCCTCCTTCTTCCTCCTCTTCCTCCTCCTCCTCTTCCTCTTCCTCTTCCTCTTCCTCCTCTTCTTTTGAAGATGCTTCGTTTCTCATCCCAGAAGCCTCTGCCATTCCCCAACTATCCTGTCAGAGCTGAAGAAGCTTCTGGGATGAGAAGCAAAACGTCTTCAAAAGAAAAAAACAAGGAAGTCCATTTGTCTCCTGAAAAAAAAAAAAACCCACCTTCTGGATGCCTTCTAAATGCTATCAGGGCACGCAGAGGCCAGTTATTCTCTTAAAATGAGACATATTCATAAAAAAAATGCCAAACCCACCCTGGTTCAACTCTGAACTACTTACCAACGGAAAGACCAGTTTAAGATAAGCCATTAACCTCACAAACCCCAATCCAAAACTACTGAACCACACAGAAAACATGCTGCTACATGCACAAGAGAAGCAGAAGGAAGCAAACTTTTAAACCTGTGTTTTCATCCGAGGAAAATCCGCGTCAAGTTCTACTTACCGGAACTGCGTTGGGCCTGTCACAGGAGCAACCTGGGCTGAAGTTGGGAAAGGTGTCTGGACATCAAATTAAGAACAGGTAACAAGATTGATGGGAGGCCCCGTGGGAAACACACCCAGAACGCTTGTGATGACCCGCAGTCTCTCAAAATAACCCCAAACCCAAAACATAGATTAAGGTCCGGTAGGGCCTTCAACTTAACTTCACTGTTTTATTAGGCACAGTTTAAAGTCACAAAAGTAAATAATGAAGCAAACAGAAAACCAAAACGAAACGCAGTGATGAGAGTTCCGAAGCCAGCCAAGATAACTAATCATAAACTCCAGGAAAATAACCGAGAAAAGTCCATGGGAAGAACGCCAGCAAAGATAAACCTCTTTCAAGCCGAACACTAAATTGACTCCTGCAAATTCTAACTGCGCAATTGCAAACTTATATACATAGCTCCCACCTGCAAGCCACGAGGAGGGTCAGGGTAATCTCCTCTTGAGTAGACCTCGCTTTTCCCTGATCCTCTCCTCCCTGCGTGACCTAGGATGGATAAGGGATGGGCCTGGATCCTCCTCTGGCTACTCAGCCGGCCTCTGCCCTTCCCCAGCCTCCTCCACCACCTCTGGAGCCAAAAAAACTCCCACTCCCTGTTGGCTGTTCCTCCTCTTCCTCAGAGTCAGACTCCTCCAGGGGCATGACAACACATTCATAAACACAGGAGTTGCTCTCATAAAGGAGAAAGAACTTAAATATAATACAGCATCTTTCCAATTAAATTATCCCACCCTCCCAAGTTATCTTAAACCTGGGAGCAGTTTGAAATTTAATAGCTTGATGGATAAGGAGCTGACAATGTTTATTTATTTATTTAATTTGTCAATCGCTTACAAGATATTAGGTATAAGAATAAACGTGAGGAAGAATACAGGAAATAGGTACGAATAAACGGGGACAACAGGACAGGGCGGGTAGGCAGGATTGGCGCCCCTTATGCATGTACCTTTTAAATTTATTTTTGGCTCAAGTGGAATATTTTTTCCTACATAAGGAAATATAAAATAGAAACATCAGAGGAACAAAACGAACAACCGAGGACATTTATTGCACATTAGTTTGAATTAGTTGGGGAGGTTCGTTTTAATGAAACTTACTTTAAAGAGTTGGGAGGAGTTGGAAGCTGTTTCTCACCCAGAGCCTAGAAGGCCCTGGCCTTGAGCTCCTTGTCTTAGAAGCTGCTCTCTCCCCGCAGGCTAAACTTCAGAATTGGGGGCCCCAGGGATGGACCCCCCCAACCGTAACCCTTTGGTTAACCCAGAAGAAGTTGACTTGATGACTCTCCAGGCTGAGATCCAGCTGCCACAAACAACAATCTACCAAGATCAACTCTGTGCTGGGATGATGCCAAGCCTTCTTTCACCGCTTGAGCACAAAAGGAGCCCAGATTGATGGGCTATGGAGTCCCCTGCCAGGAAGGAGCTTTAAAAAAAAAAAGCCCTCTTCCTCCAACAGAAGAAAATATTGTAGCTCAGGGTTGACAGGAGGGGTCCTTGGTGCTCTCTGAGCTTGGTGAGTTTCTGGCAGCGGGTTCGTTTGGTAACCAAACCAGGTCGTATTATCCGGCACCTGGTTCCCCCACACACCCCTCCTAACACTGATGAAGTGACCTAGTTCGGGTCATGAAACGTCTTCAAGAAAGCAACCAAGCTCAGAGAGCACCAAGGACCCCACAATCGCCCCCCGCTTCCTCCTCCTCCTCCTCCTCCCTGCAAAGCCAACTCTCCCTTCTAGCACCGAGGAGGTAACTAGTTGGGTCCTGAAGGGCCGCCAGGAAAGCAAACCGGTTCGGAGAGCCCCCAGGACGGTCCCGGTCTTCTCCCGACAGGTTGAGCTTTCGCCTCCGCGCTGCCAGCTCCAATCCGCGGGCGGGCCGAGTCCCGTACCTGGGCAGGCGACCCAGCGTCCCAGGTGAGCAGGAGAAGGATACGACTCCGGCGTGGGGGACCAGGTGCCGGAGCAAGATGCCCAACCGGAGCGGAGCGCGGACTTGCTTCTGCTCGAGGCGCTCCATGGCGCGTCTCCTTCGGCCGCCTCGGGTCTCGGACGTAACCGGGAAGGGGGCGGAGAAGGCCGGCCGGCCAGCCCAGCTGCTCGGGAGGCGGCGTCGGCGGAGGCGTCGGGTGTCCGGGGCGGCCCTGAGAGGCGCCGCCCGGCTGGCAAGGAGCGAAGCGAAGCGACTCCGGAGCAAAGGGCGGGTCGGAGGGGCCGGGAGGCTCGGGCGCCAGGGCCCCGCTTGGCTTGGCCGAAAGGGCCCCGGTTCCCTGGGCTGGAGAGGGCGCGTTGCGGGAGGCACTTGGAGAGGAGGCTGCTCGGGCCGGAGGATTGGCCAGGGGGGGCCTTTTAGGACCAGGACGGCCAGGAACTCTGGGAGTGATCTTGGATTTCCTAGTGGGCGATTCCTTAAACATGAGCCAGTAATATTGATGATATTGATGATCCAAGCTCTGTAAAGGACCTTGGAATACTCATGTCGAATGACCTAAGTGCTAGAGCCCACTGCAACTACATAGCCAAAAAGGCATTAAGAGTTGTTAACCTAATCTTACGTAGCTTTTTCTCTGGTAATATCACATTACTAACTAGAGCATACAAAACATTTGCTAGACCAATACTCGAATACAGCTCATCAGTCTGGAACCCACATTACGTATCTGATATTAGCACAATTGAGAAAGTCCAGAAATATTTCACAAGAAGAGTTCTCCACTCCTCTACTCGTTGTAGAATACCTTATGCCACCAGACTTGAAATTCTAGAACTAGAAAACCTTGAATTACGCCGTCTTCGGTCTGATTTAAGCATGGTATATAAAATCATACATTGCAATGTCCTACCTGTCAATGAATACTTCAGTTTCAACCATAACAACACAAGAGCACACAACAGATACAAACTCAAGGTTAACCGCACCAAGCTTGATTGCAGGAAATACGACAGAGAGGTCAATGTCTGGAATACTCTACCTGACTCTGTAGTTTCCTCGCCAAACCCCCAAAACTTTAACCTTAGACTGTCTACTATTGACCTCACCCCCTTCCTAAGAGGTCTGTAGGGGGCGTGCATAAGCGCACCAACGTGCCTACCGTCCCTGTCCTATTGTTTCTTTTATTTTTCTTTTATTTTTCTTATATGTACCCATTTCATGTATTCATAACTATGTATACGCTTATACTTATTATCTTGTAAACAATTGACAAATAAAATAAAATAAAATAAATAAAAATATGTGGGAACAGCCAAAAAAGCTAATGCAATCCTTGGTTGTGTAAACAGAGGCACAGAATCAAAGGCGCATGCAGTATTAGTAGTGCTTTACAAAACGTCAGTAAGGCCACACCTGAAATATTACATCCAGGTTTGGTCACATTACAAAAAAAGACATCGAGACTTTGGAAAAAGTGCTGAGTAGAGCAACTGAGACGGTGAAAGGCCCTGGGGATGAAAAACATATGAAGAACAGTTGCAGATTCTAGTATTTGAGGGGCTGCCCCAAAGAAGAGAGGCATGAATTTATCTTCCAAAGCCCCAGAAGGCAGGAGAAGAAGCAATGGAGGGAAACTAACCAAGGAGAGAAGCCATCTAGAACTGAAGAGAAATTCCCTAACAGGGAGGACAATTCACAGCTGGCCTTCAGAAGTTGTGGCTGCTTCATCACTGGAGGCTTTGAAGAAGAGATTGGACAACCATCTGGAGTTGGGCTAGAAGACCTCCAAGGTCCCTTCCAAGTCTATTCTGATGGATTCGATTGAATTGTATACTTTTTAAAGCATACTATGTCCCATTTTCCTTAGTATTTCTATTTTTCTTCTTATTCTTTTTTGCATAACAAGATAAATTGTACTTCTGAGAAAAGATGTTATAATAAAAAATGTCATTACAGAAATAAAAGAAAATTGATTTAGTAAGCTCTAGGGTGGGTGGGCTGTTCTTTTTTAAATACACTTTCAGTTCTCACTAAGAAATGGGTTGGAGTGAAATTTATCGTCTTAATCGAAACCCTTCAATCTGGAAAGAAAAACATTGTGTTATCTAGATTCACAACTGTCTTTTTCATTTAAAAAAAGACTTATTAATGCCATATCCAAATAACCTTGTTGTTTTGTTCCAAAATCCATTTTTGATTTTGTGCCATTAAAGTTGACAGAAGATTCTGACGAAGCAAAGAATTTATTAGAAAACTTCACACTATTTCTTACAGATTAAAAAAAAAATCCAGAATGTTTACTGTATCACGTTAATCAGTATAAAAATGCACACACTGCACCTAAAAAGGTTTAATCAAAATTGCTATCTAAAGTTAATTCTGCTTTTTAACCGCCCTTTTGTTATTCCTTATTCATTCCTTTCCCAGATTATCCATGTATTATGCAACACAAATTATAATCTGGCAATATTTGTGAGGTAACCAACCAGCTAGATTTTAATATGCTGATCCCTGCTTGTAACATTGCAATATAAAAGCCACAAAGAAAATAAGACATCAAGGAAATTCACAGAACGTTTCAACATTTTCAAACTACTATCTCCTTTGGACTTTGCTAACTTAAGAATTCAGTGGAAGCTGAAATTTAACATGCGTAAACTAGGGAAACTAATTTAGCTCTATGTTTACATTAAGATAGGTTGCAATTCTAACAAATTTGTCTTCTAAATGTCAATATCTAAATGAAAATATTTAGACATTGAAAGTGGATTCACTGATTTCAGACGGGGTTTTGGCCCTTACACCTGAGATTCAAATATTGAACATCGATTCAGAATTTGTCCTTACCTGGTGAAGTTTTAAACATTTCAGAAACAGAATTAAGTATTTATTTTAATGATGTAGCTTTCAAGAACTTTCCTCCATAAATAAATGAACAAGGATCATGTTGATGACTGCTTTGTTTAATTGGTTCCCTCTGTGGAGTTTTAGGTCGTGTGAAAAACAGATCACACTTTAGGTCATATTTATGCAGAAACATTGAACTAATTTAAGCACCTCTGTATATAAGCTCCGACACAAAGTATTATTGTTTTTAGGGGTATTTTTAAAAGATGCCCAGACACGTGATGGGACCGGGCTGTATATAAATCTGGCAAATAACTACATGTAGGGGACGTGCATAAGCGCACCAACATGCCTACGGTCCCTGTCCTATTGTTTCTTTTTATTTTTCTTATATGTATCCATTTCATGTATTCATAACTATGTTTATACTTATACCTGTTATCTTATAATCGCTCGACAAAATAAAATAAAATAAATAAATAAAAATTTTGCTGGCTCTGCTACATCCCTAGCAGAATCAAAAAAAACCCAAAGAATTACATATGGGAGAAAATCCCTTGATTATATTTTGCGTTTGAGAAGCCCTTCTGGAGAATAAATGACAAATCTCAAATCAACAAATCATTCAACTACACAAGTCAGATTCCGTTATCACTGAATTGGCAATTTATTCCACCGCATTTTCTGCAAAACACACAAGTCAAACATTACACTTTTTTTTTAAAAAAAAATGCTCGTTTGAAAAGGCTCTTTCTGAACATAAAAAAAAAAAAAAAAGGCGGGGGGAGATAGTGAAAAAAGAAATAAGGCGACTTGAAGACTTGGGTGCCAAGTGATCTTGGCAAACTCTGCTCTGTATTTTCAACTGCCCATTGTACACATAATTAACCTCTGCCACCAAAGAGCATGTGAGATTTGCTAAAATCATTTGCCACCCAGAAATTACTCAAGAGCTACTGCTAGTTGTAAACCAAAGGATTTCTGGAGAGTATAAACGCCTTTTGCCAGGATGGGTAAATAAAAAAGCACCGAGGAAGTTGATGAAAAGAGTTTAGCAAGCTACGTAAACTATATCCGGAGTCATCCTGCATTGGTTGAGGGGTCCTTGTGCTCTCTTGGGCTTGGCCGCTTCCTCACAGCTGCTGATGTAGTTGGTGTGCTACGGTGATACTCCGCGGCCGTTACGATCGGGGCTTTCCGAAATACAGTATATCCCAGTTTTGTCCTTCTCATAAATTGTGTTGCTTGGACAGCCTTGGTTGACGAGCACAATTCAGCGCACCATTTAAGTTGCTAAGTGAGGAATCTGTTTTGAGTTTCGCCCCACGTGACGACTTCTCTCCGCATTTGTTCAGGGACTCACTGCGACCGTCATAAATGGGAATGTAAATCACGTCACCCCCACGGGGGATGTTGCAACGGTCGCAAGTGTGGGAAACTGGCCACAAGTCCCTTTTTTCAGTGCCACTGTAACTTCGAATGGTCAGTAAACGAACCGCTGTTAAGTCTTGCATTGGTAATGGGGCAAGGCACTCTTTGATGAAGTTGCGTGGGCGTCCAGTTTGTAGATGTTTCAAGCTTAGAATAAGAGTTGGAAGGGACCTTAGAGGTCTTCTGGTCCAACCCCCTGCATTTTCCTGATGTTGAGGGCTGTTGCAATACAAACAACCCAGTGAAGGAATTACCAAGAAAGAACACTCCTGCCAACACGGATGGGGCATATAAAAAAGATATAAGATATATATATATAAAAAGAGAGAGCAAACCCCACTCCCTTCTAGCTTTGATGATGTTACCTGGTTGGGTAATGAAACATCTGCAAGAAAACAGTTGAAGCTTAGACAGCACCAAGGTTTCACCCTGAGCTACAAATATTCACTTACGTTTGTATTAATTTCCTATGGGTAGAAATTGCATAAGTTTCAATAACTGTGTATTCTCAAGTGGAGAAATATGGAATAGGAACTGAAATACACAGGAACTTTCATGTGTATATATATATATATATATATATATATATATATATATTGCTGCTGTTTCTCTAAATATGGCACATGCCCTCACATGTGAAGTTTGTGTTTTAGAATCATATAATCACAATTTAAGGACAAGTTCACAACATGGAAGAGCGTAATGCCAAATTATTGCATACAAAAAAATTAAAAAGGTTTAAAATCCAACCGCCAAAGAACACAAGTAGCTCTATCTTCATTCAAAAGGGCCTGTTCCATGTTTGGGATCTTCCAGAAAAACTTATTTCAGATGCGTTCATTCTTTCAAAACTATAAGCACAAGGAAAGGTTCTTATTGCAGAGATGCCTGTTACAATCTCCTTTTAAGACATTTTTATACATAAAACCCAACCAGATTAGAATACAGCTCTTCAGTAAAGGCTTCAGAATCAGAAACATTTACTGGATATGTGCAACTGTTAGCAGGAAGAGGTATTCATATGACCTGTTATCACGATGTATGAATAGTCACATTTTACATTATGATACTGGGAATTAAACACTATTATTGCTTTAGACGAAAAACAACCCTTTTTTTAAAAACAACTTAAGTGGTAGTTAATTTAAAGGTAGCAACCTGATTTAAACACTTTGTTCTCACTTCCCAGTAGCTCAGGCATAAAAGTTAAAAAGTCATCCACTTGCACAAGAGCAATAAAAAAATTAAATATTTATTCAAATAATAAGCTTAAGTTCAGGCTGCAAAGTTGGCAACGTAGCTTTTAAACACATCCACAAAAAAGCGTGCACAAGAATGTAGGCCGAACAAAAATAACTAAGCATCGTACTAGAAATCCGGTTTTTAAGAAAAGCAAAAAAAATATAATCACTATACAAAATATAAAATGTATTAAACACTACCATCCACGGAACAGGGTTGTTTTGTTTTGTTTTAAATTGGTTATAGTTTTAAAATTGCTTGTGTGATTATATAGGGAGTTGTAAATGATGATCGAATACCCTTCCGTTGGCAATATTCTGCTGCTTCTCAGCGCACCCTATCCCTGCTGAAGACTTATTTATAGTGTTTATACCATCGATAAAAAGGAAGCGATTATCGGTAATACAAAAGTAAACGTTGTCTGAGCTACAAAGAACACAATTACTCCTTCCTTCGCACTTTGGCCAAGTGCTCTTCGTGCAAACGCAGAACTCGTGTGTTTCTGGTACTACCACGTTATGTCCGAGGCCACAGATTTTCACGGAGAGGACAACTAAAAATCGTACAAATGAAAAGACGGAACGAAGGCGGCAGGCATGCAACCCCTCTTGGCTTCCGGGTTCAGCTCCTTGTGTATCAAACACTTTATTGCCTTTTGGAATTTCATTCAAGGCATCCGAAATTAGAGCTATTGATAAATATACATGTAGCCCCCACCCCGAAAAACCCCCCCCCCAAACCCAATTTTTTTTTTTTTTTATAAAAAAAAAAAGAGCACAAAAACTGCATTTGATTACCACGGTGGGCAATGCCTGCGCTACGTGAAAGCACCTTTTAAAAAAAAAGAGCCCGTGTGGCGAGAGATCAATGTCTCTTAAAGATTCAAAATGAATCAACAGTATTGGATAACAATATCGCTCTCAACTCAGAAGCTGCCTCGAGATAGGAGCATCTTCAGTTCGTGTAACAGGAAAAAGAAAAGGGAGGGGGGGAAAAAAAAGGTGTGTTGTGTGTTGTGTGTGAGGGGAAGGCAAGAGGGTTATATTCACTCGCTCCAACCGACCTAAGGCCACCAGGTTTGCAGACACAATGTGTTTCTTCTCTCTCTCTCTCTCTCTTTTTTTTTACACAGTTCTTTAGGCTGTAAGATGATAAAGGAAATAGATCTATTTTTTGTTTTTGTTTTTTTTTAAAAAAAATGAAACAAAACAAAACAAAAAACCTATTTCGTCTAGGATTAAGAAGCTGCCCCGGGTGTCGGGTTTACGTTCTGAGTGGCTACTTGGGGCGCGACTTCGATGATCCGAGGCTTGTCTATAATCCTGGCCGTGCGGTTTCCCTTTTCCACAATCCCAATAATCCATGCCTGGTGACCTTCGCCGTATTTTGGAGACTTGATCTCGGCACAGAACCGCGCCGCTTGTTCCCGCGGTAAGCAGATAAGGAGGCCTCCTGCAGAAGGAGAAAGGAAGGGTGGCATTAGCTCCCGTTCGCGGGGTCAAAGCGAAGTTGCTGCCTGGCTTACTCGGAGCTTTAACCGTTCTTTACTAATTAAACTGGTTTGGCCCTCACCCAGAAGTTGTGGCGGGTCCTTTTCTTCCTGCCTTAATCCAAATGATCGTTTCCAAGGCAGCTTAGAAGAACAGAGTTGGAAGGGACCTTGGAGGTCTTCTAGTCCAACCCCCTGCTTAGGCAGGAAACGTTATACAACTTCAGACAAAGGGTTATCCAATCTCTTCCTATAAACCTCCAGTGACGGAACAGCCAGAACTTCTGGAGGCAATTAATCCACTGATGAATTGTTCTCACTGTCAGGACATTTCTCCTTAGTTCTAGCTGGTTCCTCTCCTCGGTTAGTTTCCACCCTCTCTTTATACCTGGGATCTCACTGCAGCCTTCTGCGCAATGTTCTCCTTACTAAAGCAACCGGCTCTTGCGTTGAATGCTGCTTTCAGGTGGGGTCCACAGAACGAAGCAGCCAGATGGGGACAAATTCTCAACAGGGAGATTCCCAAACTTATTTCTATCTATCCGTGACTTGGATCAGGTCTGCAGAGGACTGGGAAAAATGGCTGATATTTGGCAGGACATTACAAACAAGTAATCTAGACAGGCCTTTAGGATTAAAAAGAACAGGGTGGAAGTGAACAGGGAAAACCGTGAAGTGAGCCACCAGGCCAAAGTAGCTGGTAAAAAGGCAAATGCTGCCTTGGGATGGATTAATACAACACGAAGCCCAAATCATTCACAGTATAATTGTTCTGTTCTACTTCTCCCTGATCAAACCCTGTTTGCAATATTAAGCTGGGTTCTGGGGGAAGTGACAAATTGGGAGAAAATCTTGAGAAAGTCACTAAGTTGAGTGGTATAGAATCCAAACCCCATCAGGAAGATACGCAAAAACAAGGCCTACGGTATAATTTAATGCTAATTCCTAATTCATATAATTTAATACAATGAAAATTTATAATTTAAACATTTAATGGCAATGCCAATTCGTCCAGTAAGCACCCAATTCAAAGGAATATAAAGTATCAGCACTGATCATTCTGAAGTGTGGACAATCTACTATTACAGCTTTAAATGCAAAGCAATGTCAACACTCAGAGTCAGAAAAGGCAACAATTAGGAATTTGTTTAGCGGGGCAGAATTTCTGACTTGCACAACATTACTTCTTTTGTGTATATAGCCAAGTGCACATCTGTTAAATGCAGATTTTTTTTTCAGCACAGGTTTCCAATATAGCCTAGTTGTTTGGGTTTATCTGAAGAAGCAGCGCCATCCTCTGACCATTTACAAGAATCTCTAAGGAACCAATTTATAATGATAACTGTGTGGCACGGACATTGCACACATTTTCTTTCACAAGTCTTCCATTTGTAACAGCACAAAGGACCTCAAAATTATGAAAATTCAGTTGATCTGAAAGGTGATTACTATTTTTTACGGAGGTATTTTGGAGAACAAGAAATCAGCTTCACTATATAAATTTGATCAATCAATCAATTAAATTCTAGCACTGGAATCAACCAGAATGGCCGGGAACAGAATTGCCAGGACTTTGATAAGGAAGCATCGATAATATTCCAGCTGGTAAGAATCACAAACTGAACTACACACACAAAAGACATTGGAAGCTCTGGCATTTCACTGGCATTCTGGATTGCCTACGGTTCACTTTTATGTATTTATTTTTTAGGTCATCCACACTATCAATTGGGCCTGTTCCTGAGAAGCTTTTGCAAAGAAAACCTGGATATTTTAAAATCTTTTTTCATCAAACAGAAGGTCGAGGAATCGTGTTCAATTTCTTTAATGAGTGATATTATTTTATTTATTTATCTATTTTATGGTATTATTTATCTATTTTGGTCGCAAAGACAGAGTGAGGCCTCTGCCTCCTGACTCTCGCTATTGAACTGAAATGCCAAGGGAATGAAACCTACATGGCAACAGAATGAGGAGAGCTTTTTCTTTGTTAGCTGCCTAGACATTGTATCCCTTTCACCTTTGACCCTATTTAGGAAGCTACAAGGCACCGTTGGGAGAACTGGCATGGCCCTGTGTTCTGAAGACCGAATCGTGGAGCAGCTGACAGGATGGCTGGATTGCACCGTGAAGGGAACGGCCGTAGGGGCTTCCTATTCCAGGCAGACATGTTTTCAGAGAGGGGTGATCTCCCCAGGGTCTGCATCTAATGGATCAAATTTCCTACTGTGGAAGACGAGACAGCCGATTCACATCCCTCATACTCCAGGGAGGAGTGTGTTCCTCTTGGAGAGAGATTAAGGGCCGGAGTTGCAGACATGTATATATATATATATATATATTTACCTGAAGTTTCTGGACAAGTCCCGTGCATAAGACCAAACATATTCCCACAAGCTTTGCTAACTGCAGCCATTTTGGCAAGGACAGGGAGGTTGTGGATAACGAAGGAGACTTCGTTGCGTTGCTGCTTTGCTAGATTCTGTGCGTGGCCCAGGATGCCGAAGCCTGTGATGTCCGTGGCTGCATGAGCATTGAACGTATGCATGAGCCCTGCGGCTTGAGAGGAGAGAGAGAGAGGGAGAGGGTCACGCACCTTCGGAATTCAGCCCGTCCCTCAGAATTAAACCAGAGTTTATAGTGCCAGCTCCCTTCAAATAAAGCTGAAGAAATGGCGCAGGGTCTCCTGCTTGGGCAGGGGGGGTTGGACTAGATGACCTACAAGGTCCCTTCCAACTCTGTTAATCTGCCTGTTAAAGTTAACTAGAATAAAACTTCTTCGGGAGGAAAAAAAAAAACACACATTCCCACATATGAACGATCCATTCCTGATCTCCTTTTGGCAAAATCGTTTGGAAATACTGTCCCATCTCAGAAGATTTATACCTTTTTAAAAAAAATATATATATTCCAATTGCGGTTAAAGAGTGGGATAGGCCTGAATTTTCTGATAATGCATGGTAGATATTTTTTTTTCTTTTTCCTTGCCAAACATTCATTTCCAATTGCAACCTGAGTTGCATTTTCTTCTTCAGAAAACATTACGACCATGCTATATATAAATGGTTTGCTTCTATAGTAACAGATGAGAAAAAAGTGTGTGTGTGTGTGTGAGAGAGAGAGAGAGAGAGAGAGAGAGGGAGGGAGGGGGAGGGAGGGGTGTGGAGAGACAGAGGGAAAGAAAGTGAGTGACTGGCTCCCACCAGGGACTGCTTGAACAAGCCCACACATTTTTCTGGGCTACGTTTTTAGAAATGGCCTGCACCGCTTCTTCCTAAGTTGAAAGGAAGTGGCTGGCCCTAAGACATCCGGCATGAAGCATGAAGGCAGGACTAGAACTCACACCCTCCAGGTTTCTCGGTCCGGAGGCCTCTACAGCTGCACCAATGTGTCTTTCTTCTACAGCTGGAAACATTGTACAGGTAGTCCTGGACTTATGAGCATAACAGAGCCCAACATTTCTGTTATTGAGATATTTGTTAAGTGAGTTTTGCTCCCTTTTACGACTTTCCTGGCCAGAGTCATGACATGAATCACGGCCGTTGTTAAGTTTTCCGCACGGTTGTTAAAGTGAATCTGGCTTCCCCGCTGGCTTTGCTTATCAGAAGGGCGCAAAAGGGGATCACGGGATCTTGGGACACAGCAATGGTCATAAACATGAACCAGTTGCTGAGCGTCTGAATTTGGATCACGCGATCTGGATGCTGAAACGGTCGTCAAGTGTGAAAAACGGCCCTTCGTCATCTTTTTTTTCCCTCCCAGTGCCGTTTTAACTAAGTGAACTGTTGTAAGTCGAGGACTGTCTGTACACCATTCCAGAGAGCGACCTTAACCACCTGACTTCCTAGCAATCTAAATAGATCTGTGCCCTGCAGACCTTGTTGTCCCCCCCCCCCCCCCCCCCCGGTCGCTGACCGAAACGAACTGGCCACCTGTTCCCTTACCTGTCCTGTTGAGTCTTGCCATGTTCATCATTGCTTCTTGATAGGCAAGTTCCACGTCTTCTTGTGTCACGACCAGCTTGATTTTATTCCATTTTTCTGGCTAAGGCACGGAAGGAAAGAGAAAGGCTACATACAGCTATTTTGGGGTATTTTACTTTACATCTACCTACCTACCTACCCATCCATCCATCTATCCATCCGTGTGTGTGTGTATATGTATATGTACACACACACACACACACACACACACACCAGCCAGTTACTTCTTATCCTTTCCTGATAATCTTAGGACGGGATTTGGCCCTCACTAGCAGCATGCTAGCACAGTCTTCTTACTGAAGGCTCAAGATGTATTTCTTGGTTGCACAGCAATTCAAGCCCATCGATCTACACACGCAGCTATTATTTGAACAGCATTAAGTGCCGATTCTCCCAACTTGAAGGAATCCTTTGAAGCACTTCCTGTTGCATTTTGATTTTTACTACCTGAACAGCCACGATCAGAACATCCCTTTTGTTTATAAACGGATTCTGCTTCACTGCTTTTTCGGTTTGCTGGGTGAGGACCAAAGACGATAGTATAGGGTCTGCTTGGCTGTGTGTGTGCGGGGTGTGTGTGTGTGTTTTGGACTAGAAGACCTATAAGGTCCCTTCCAACTCTGTCAATCAGCAGCCTCTGAAACAGAGTTTCAGAATGTATTTTATTTCCATGACGAATTTCTAATTGCAAACTAGAAAAACAGGATTATCTTACTGCTTTTCTACACTTCCTCTTCTTCAATAAATTTTGCTTCAAGTACTCTAAAAAGTGTTTTTCTGAAACAGATTTCTACACAGTCAATGTACATCCAGAAATTTGTTTTTACAATGACACTTTTATCTCCAGATATTTAATGTATGTGAAAAGAAGATAAACCAACGGAACAGGTTGGTATTAGGTAAATTACATTTAGCCTACTTTGTTCAAAGTTTGGCTTAGCTTAGTCCCAGATAGGGGCTGCCCCTTTGCTGGGTTTATATTTAAAGTGATTTACTTACAATGTCTAACCACTGATGGACAGCTACAGCTACTTGTGTTCCCAATGGCTTCGTTAACACCAGCACATCTCCCGGGACTGCATTATCTGGCCTAGAAGTAATGAACATATATTATTAAAAAGCACACACCCCATCATTATTTTTCAGTAATTATTCCACCAAAGTTTATTTTAATATTATCCAGAGATCTTATTTAAAATAAAACGAATACAACCAAAAAAGGCACTCATTTAGTCACCATATCTTAAATGAGTACTTTTTTTCATGTATCAAAATATATATAATGAAGATTATTGGTAGATTTTTATCTGAGCCACACTTAATGCTAATATGACAATTTTCCCCTAAAAGGAAATTGTTACTACTTTCAGTGTCTCTTACTTCTATTAAAAAAACAACAACTTCTGGATAAGATTTTGTTGCCTTTATTTTAGACACTAAAAATAAGACAGATTTTCAGAGCTCGGATTTTAATAGCTGGAATCATTAAATGATTTACAGTCACACTGGCTTTCCAACTTGGATGAAATAGATCAGTTTCCTACATGGGGCTCATCAGTGAACACATAAAAACTCAATATAACCCCATATATTGTAGAACTGCTACCACAATGAGTTCTAAAGTTATCTGAATCTGCAATGTGATTTTTTTTGTTTTATTTACAGCATTATTTTAATTTAAACACTGAATACTGCAAATCATAGTTGATTATTTGGCATCAAGTGTGAGCCTGACCAAGTGTAACTTTTTAAATAAGTCATGATTAAGCCAATTATGGCTTTGCAAGGTGAATCTTAATACATTTGTAAAGCTTCACCAGGAAAACATGCATTGTTGTTAACATCTCCAGTCCAGAGCCAAAGGCAAGCATTTAATTTCCTTAAATTGAACAACACATAAAAGAAACAATTCAGAATTTTAGAAGTAGCTACCTCTTTTAACACTTTCAGCACCTTTTCCTTGGCATAAAATGCTCCAACTTACATTATAAACTCATTAGGCTGACAGACAGTTGTGGCCACTCCTCCTAAAACAATCCAAGGGTTTAATACTGTTTGACCACCAGTCACTGATGTTCCTGCCTCTTCTGCAGCATCTTTAAATCCTTGGATAATTAGAGGCATGATTTTATCTCTTTCCTTCAGACAAAGAAATGAAAACAAAAGTAGGAAAAATCAATTGCCTAGTCAAGCATCCACTGAATACATAAACAGCTTACAAGCCACCCCAGAGAAATTCATAATTCCACAACTGTTAAAAGTTGAATCATCCCCTCACACCTGCGTATGTACATGTAGAAATAGTCTACTAACAGAAACTTATTACTTCCTTGAACCCCTGTAAAGTTAAAAGAGCGGGATATCAATAAGTTCCACTCAAAATGTTGGATGAGGCCCAGTTCTCACAAACTACATAAGAACAGCCAAGTTTGGTAAATTCTTCCTTATAGCAAAGCAACTTCCCCCAGGTTTTTTGACCGGTTTGGTGGAGGGTGGTTTTTCCACGGACCGTATGTGTGTGTGGTTTTACACGCTGCCTGGATCCTGCACATGTGTGGATGGAGCTTCGCTCACTTGTACGCTGTGGTGCCGGTGCGTGGTCTGGGGTTGGGTGCCCCTTTAGTAAAGCACCTCACAGGGTTTCCAAACCGTTCAACAGAGTTTTGAGAAACGTTTTATTTGGAAATTGCAAGGGAATCTGGCAAAAATGTGCAACGAACCTTTTAGTTATTTTATTCCAGCTGGATTGAAGCTAGTTCTCCAACTGAAAAAATTCTTATGAATAAGCAAACCATATTATGGCTTAGGAGAGCTAACCAGAGTAGAGCTTTAATGATGAGTTATCCTTAGAGAGTTTGTGCAACAAACTTGGTAAAATGCACAGTGGTTTACTGAAGTGTCTGATCCCAACTCCTGTTGCAACTTTCTAGCATAAGTTACTAGAAATGTTAGCAAAAGATGAGATGATTGTTGACTCAATTATTTCAAACTTTCTTGTGCGACTTCCCCCCAAATTCAATGAGAAATCATGAAAATATCTTTTGGTTTAATTCAGATCTAGAACTTAAATGAAATAACAGGCATTAGAGTAAACACCCTTACAAGGTATTTGATTATCAGTTCTGAAAAATATGTAGTGAATTGTTAAAATTGTAAGGGTCTGTTTTGTCTTTCATGATTTTGAACTGTTTGAATATAACGATCACACCAGAATTGATACTTTCAGTCATTTTTAGAATTTTCAAGGACGGTAATGTAAGCAAGAGCAACTAATAATCGAAAGAGCAGAGGTGGACAATTGGCAGATTTAGGATTATAGATGCTTGAAATACCATTTATTGGTATTGTTCAGATTAATGTTAATTTATAGGTACACAGAATAATATATTCGAATTTCTGATCATCACAATTAAAGGAACTTACCCTGTCTGTCATTTTATTACTGATACCCAGAAGCATCAACATATTGTCACATTCGGTGACTCCCATGGCATAGAGATCACTAAGGACATTGGCACATGCGATGCGTCCCTGGAAAAAACAACACACACAATTCTCATTGAACTGCTGTTTTAAGGCTTAACTTCCTTCCCAAGCTAATCTTCAAAGGAGACTGGGTGAGGCCAAGAAATCTACCAACCGAAATTTGAGGAGGGCAGATGGAAAAAGCAACTGTAATAAATGAAAGAAATAACAGGACTGCTGTTACTATTGCATTTAGCTCTATTGCCTATTGAGCAGACTAACCAATACACCAAACAGAAATTCTTTGTATATTATCTTTCACTGGATAAAGTAGTACATTCTGATTTTTAAAAAATTGTTAAAACCTTTCTCTCTGAGTTTAGATGAACACAGTAGAATATTACTGAATTCCTTACACAGCCGTACCTCGGTGCTCATCATTAACATGTTCCGGGATGAGTACCAAAAACAGTGAGTACCAAACAATTTTTCCCATAAGGAATAATGAAGTGTGATTCATAAGGCAGCTGACAGCAACAAGTTCTAGTTTGTGTGTTGACAAACAATGAGTACTGGGACAAATTTTTCACATAAAAATGCATTGAGTACCAAGGTAGCACCGTGTAAGGCCTTCATTCATTTACTTAGAGTAGAAATAATATAAATGCTCAAACCAAGATCAGTCTCCACCTGGGGGGGGGGGGGGGTTGGGTTTCTTCAAAGGCCTGGTCATTCCAGACAAAACTGAGAAAGACTAAATAAACCAAAGCCAGGTGAAATCGATAGTCTGACATCCATCCCCGTTCCTCCAAAGTTCTTATTTGACAAAAAGGCGACCAACGTTTTAAGACATCATACCATCATATAGGGGTCGTCCACAATGGGATAAATGTAGTCTGTTGTCTGGACCAAAGACAGACCTCCGTGTCTCAAAGGAATAACGCAAGTATCCATGCCAATTCCTGTAATAAAAGTAACTCACTTTATTTTTCAGGATATTGGGCTGTTCTTCTAATTGCCTATTTCTACATATTCCGAGCAGACAAGGTGATCCAAACGGTGAATATCCTACCCTAGGGAGACTATGAAAACACTGAATGGTAGTTCGGTGTTTCTTTTCTCATTGGTGCGGCCGCATTCTTCAACGCTGTCTTCCCAGGGACTCTTCACAGAAAGAGTCTAACGTGCACTAGGCTACATAATGATTGTACAGGTAGTCCTTGACTTACGACCACCATCGAGCCCAAAATTTATGTTGCTAAGCGAAATACTTGAGTTTTGCTCCGTTTTGTGACCTTTCTTGCCACATTTGCAGTCGTTCAATTAGTAACGCGGTTGCCAAGTGAATCTGGCTTCCCCATTGAAGGGGTCGCAAAAGGGGATCCTATCTGAGACCTAAGAAATCATTATAACCAGTAAAAGGTTTCTTACCCAATCTTGGCATAACAGCCCCCAAAAACTGTTCATCTTCTTGGAAATGATTTTCTTGTAAAGATTCGAGCAATTTCTGCAAAATGTCCTGAGGCACTTTACAGCCGGTGCCTTTAAGTTCCGTGAAACGGGTTAACCGAAAACTTTTGTCAAGTTCGTAACTTTCTGGATTAAAGGACTCTCGAACAGACATGATTCTCACACGGTTAGTAACGGCAGATTTTCTTTTTCTTTATGAAATAGGTTCGACTTGTTATCCTAGGATTAAAAAAAAATACAAACATATAGCATAAAAGTTGTCTTTCATACAGTCGCATACTCTACCTAAAAATGTGGTCTCCCAACTGTTTTTGTATAGAAAATACATCAAAATTCTTTGTGAAACGGCCTATTAGATTTCATTTCGGCTGCTAAATTGTAAAGTGACAATCCAGCAGAGTTAAATCCCAATGAAACAACTGTGATCTTACTAAATGTAATTACAAACTGATTTTTGTTTTTAATCTTCGCATTTGTAGTACACTACATATAATTTAGAAATAAAAGGCCATATTAACTCTTTGAAACTCCTCATGAACACCAAAATGCAACGCCTATTCAAGCAGTAGGCATTTTACTTTTCAGTTAGCCTCTACTCCTTTTGTAGATGTTAATCCATGCCAAACTGTGATGATTGAAATGAATTGTTGAGAACACTCCAAATACAGACCAAGTCCAATACAATTTAACTTAGTGCATGAATGTGGAATTATCAAGGGTTGACAAGGAGAAGAGCGATGAAGTCACAGACAAATGAATTATTGATGGACACATCAGAATAATTCAGAAGCCTTATGAAGATATTTTGTTAAAACATAGAAACAAAAACAGCTTTAAAGAAGATAAACAAAAGTTCAAAACTTGGTAAATCTTGCACTTAATTCACACCAGCAGTTGAGGAACCAGCCATACATTGTTTTTGGTTGTTTCTTTAAAACATTCCTGGCAACATTCTGTCTCCGTGGGAAGGACCACATCTATCATATTCTCTTCTCCATTCACACTGAGAATGCCCCATCGGTAACATTTGGTTTTGCCTAAAGTAAGTTTCAATTGGTTTGCCTGACATATATATCCAGAATTTCAGTCATCTTTTCACCATCTTTTTTTGGTTTTTCATTGCCTACTTGGAATTAGAAATAATTTGTACAATGATGGCATTTTAGTCCAAGCTTCTGGATTATTTCTTCCAGAAGTTTAAGTGAAATAAAGAATGCCCCGAAGGATGCCAATCATGTCAATTTAGGATCTATACCATCTATCAATAGGACTCAATAATTTACTACCCTAAACTTAGACAAGAAGATAAGCTAGAATGGATCCACTGAATCCTAGAAAATCAATCCTCTTCAAGACTGTCTGAAAAATGACAGCTACCAGATGATTCTAGACCTTGATGTCAAACAATATAGTGGCTACACTTGAAACTAGCGCATTGGATGTGAACCATTTTGCAGAACATTCTGTAACGGTAAAGGCCAAACAGGTTTCCAAAACTGGAATGTTGACCCAATGGGCCAGCAATAAACTATTTGGAAAACTATCGGTCAACCTGTACATCAAATGGCGGAGCAAATACACTTTTCTTGCCACATTCTTGGTGATAGTGCTATGTGCTAACTGCCTCTTCAGTTTGATTATATTTGTTAGATCATCATTTTATCTGCCTTGCTGGCTAGCCAATTCTGTTATTCAGAAGGGGAAATAGTGGCTTCTCCTTCTTTTCCTAAATTGTTTAAAAAAAAAAGGAGGGGGAAAGTGAGTTATCGGCTACAAACATGGTTGACACATCATTCAAAAATGCCATTAAACTGGGTCAGTCTTTAGTTCCTTCCTTTTTCTGACACTGGATAACCATGGAATTTCATAGATATGTGAGAACCGTGGCAGACTGCTTTGTGACCAGGGTTCACGGTTTGTCTGCTTTCTTCTCTCCCCCTCTCCCCTCCATCTTTTGTCTCAGGATAGTTAGCATATTTTATTTAATCCGCCCATACCCAAAATACTGACCAATCCATTTTCTATTTTGAATGCAAATGACTGCTTCTCCATGGTTTGTGGATGAACCCAATTTACTAAACATAAAACAGTAAATTGGCTAGTGAATAAGCTACAATAGGCTACATTCACTCAATTCATTAAACCTGGGATGGACAACTTTCTTATGGTTAATGGATGCAGTTAAAATGGAACAACGAGCAGGTTTGGCGATTTTTAAAGGGGTGAAAGGATCAATTTCATCCCTTAATTCACACCAAACACCAAAAAATGCAAATACTTTGATTCTGTTTATTTTAGAGGTAGATTGGAGTCCACACAACGCTGCAGATTCCTCCCCTCCTTAATTTTGATATTCTATGTTGTGAGCTCTGCCAGTGTGTGGATAAAATAAGTGTGTACTGCTGCTTTTGGATACTGTTTATTCAATCATTGTTAAGTCTGAACGCTTAAGTTAACAATTCCCTTTACTGTAGTGAGTTGTAGTAAAATATTTGAAATAATTAATCCCTATTCATCCATTAGAAACCACTATCACCCAAACGTTGAGTCCCCAATGCATGTATTTTGCTGCTAGGGTTATGGTTGTGAAAAGATCCTTTGTGAGTTTAGAGAACCAGAGGAACAGAGAATACCCAGGGAAAACAATGAACATGAACAGCCAAGTATGACTGCTTCAGACAGGGCCACAAGTAATATCTAACTGGAGCCTGTATCAAGACTGGTATTGATGTCTCCCCTGGATAAAACTGTTCCAGAGCATCACAAACTCTGGAAACACTACTCAGTTATGGGTACCTGGTCAAGTATTTAATAGATGTAACTCTATTGCAAATTAAAAGTCTGAATGAACATTACACTGCAGATTAGTTATGGCAATCGATAAGTTACTATTTTGTGTTAGTAACTGCTTAAGTGAACAATTTGTTTCATTCCACAATCCAAAGGGGAAAACATTTTTCTAGTTTACAGAAAACACAACATCGTTACTTTCTGGTTTGCTAAAGTAGCTCACGTAAATAGGTATTCGTATAAATAAGTCATTAGTTGAACATCAAAATAATCTCCCAATACTTGTGAATTTAGTAATCACATACTTTAATTAAATTCAATTAAAACTCCTTCCAATAAATGTCAGAGTTGTAAAATACTTGAAATCCCAATCACAGAAACGTTTAGGAGAAAATGTTACTGAGTTGCACCAGGTAAATGGAATACAATCGAAATACTCCAATGAAGGAAGTGATACTTGTAATTAAAACTATATGAATATGAATTTAAAGTGAGAGCTTAATACATTTTAAGAGGCCAGTTAAATATCAAAGAGACAATTACATAAAAGTTTACATTCAGCTGGATCATGCCACAGTACAGCTGAAGTTTTAAATATCTCAAGACTAATAAACAAGGAGCAATATTTTAACAATTTTCTTCTCTTTCCCAGATGAGGCACCACCATTCCTTTACAAAACACTCTAGATAAGGAAGCTCTTCATGACCAGAGGCCCTGTAGACAGAGAGTAACGGGGCTTCTAGGCATTATACACGGGCAATATTACATACAAACACTTCAGGAATGTAACAAAATTTGGGTGAGATGACTACAGAATTCCAAGTGTGTCATCCTGGCTCTCAGTTGATGGGTGGACACAAACACAGAGCTTACATAATACTTTTGGCTAAAATGTACATTAGAGGGACCCCAAGCGACTGAGAGAACCCGGCAAACCAGGCCCCAAAGGTGCCTTTCCCCCCCAAAGGCAATGGGATTTTCTTGTTTCTTTTTCCTCGAAAATGTTTTGCTTTTCAGCCAAGAAGCTTCTTCAGTTCAGTTCAGTTCAATAAATTGGGAAGCCCACGGAGATTCTCAATCATCCAAGTCATGATTGTGCCAAAGGTGCTTTTTTCCAAAAGGCAACTGGACTTTGCTTTGCTTTCTTTGAAAACAGAAGTTTAGAACTGAAGAAGCTTCTAAAGTAAAACATTTTCCAGGGAAAAAAGAACCCAAAAACGTCCAATACAGAGAGTCCTCAACTCATGACCACAATTGAGCCCCAAATTTCTGTTGCTAAGTGAGACATTTGTTAACTGAATTCCGCCCCATGTTACCACCTTTCTTGTCACAGTTAAGGGAAATCGCTGCAGTTCTTAAGTGAGTCACACGGTTGTTAAGTGAATCTGGCTTCCCCATTGCTTGCCAGGCCGCAAAGGGGGATCAATGACTCGTGGACACGGCGACCGTCATAAATATGCATCAGTTGCCAAGTGGTTGAGTTGCTCTTACGTGACCATGGGGATGCTGCAATGTTTCTGTGAAAAACGATCCTGAGTCCCTTCTTTCAGTGCCCTTGTCTCTTTGAATGGTCACTAAACAAACTGCTGTAAAACAAGGACTGCCTCCATTCACAAGAAAATCCAGTTGCCTTTTGGGAAAAAAACACCTTTGGGACAACCATGACTTTTGACGACTGAGGCTCCCCATAGGCATCCCAACTGACTGAATTGAAGTGAACTGAAGAAGCTTCTTTGGCTGAAAAACAAAACCTTTTCAAGGAAGAAGAAGAAAACCCCAGCAAAAAAGTCCATTTGCCTTTTGGAAGAAAAGCACAATAGAATAGAATAGAATAGAATAGAATGCAGAATAGGAATAGCAGAGTTGGAAGGGACCTGGGGGGGTCATCTAGTCCAACCCCCCCCCCACTCTCCGCGCAACCTTTGAGACACCAGGACATGGATGCCCGAGACTCTCTATAGACCAGGCAAAGCCGGGTTCTTCTGGTCATTGATTATGGGTCTGGTTCTTCTGGTGTTCCCACGACCCGCTTAATCCGGAGTCGCTCCGAAGCAAGAGCCAGGCGGGAAGTCCTTGCCCTGCCTTTGGCGGAAGCGGGAAGCCCAGCAGCCCCGGCCGCCAGGACCCCAACCGAGGGCGGCAGAAGCCCCTTCCATCCACTCCCTCCCTCCCTCCCGCCCGCCCCTCCATCCACCGCCTTCTCAGCGTCGCCAGCGAGCCGGATCGTCCCATTTCTTCCCAACTCGGGCGGGGGAAGGGGCGGGGCTTCGACCCTCGCTCCTCCTCCCTCCGAGGGGCGTGGCCGCGGCGGAGAAAGAGCGGCGCGAGCCAAGTTAAGGCTCGCGCTCCGGGCGTTCCAGGCGCACAGCGCACGCGCGAGGCCTCCCGCTCACCTACCCCCCCCGCCCGTGGGGGGGGGGGGGGGGGGGGGGAAAAGGAAAGATGTCGGCGGGCGGAAAGATTAACCTCTTCCCCTCCGGAGGCGGCCAAGATTTTTTTTTTTTTTTAAAGGAGCACCTTCTTTAAGGGGCCCCTCCGGGCTTTCCTCACACACGCCCCCTCCGGCTTCTTCCCGCGCGCTTTCCCCCCCCCCCCACCTACCCTGGGGGGGGCGCGCTCCTTCCTCTTGCAGCGCACCTCCCTCCTCTCTCTCTCTGCCCCACCCACCCCTTCGCGGCCTTCTCCTTACCGCGTCTCGGCTGCTCTCCCGCCCGCCGACGGGACTCCCCGCGCCGCTCCGGCTTGCCCCACTCCGTCCCACAATGCACCGGGGCGCCTGGCCGGCCCCGGCTCGCGCTCGCCCTCTCCCCTCAGCGCCGCCTCAGTTGCAGGAGGAGGAGGGGGGGGGGAAGAGAGAGAGAGAGAGGCGAGAGAGGAGAGACGTGTCGGGCACGAGGGGGTTAATCTTCCCCGCCTCCTTCCCCTCCTTCAAACGGCCGAGGGAGGGGGGAGCAGAGACTAACGGCTGCGCCCAAGTGCCGCCTCGGAAGGGGGGGGAGGGAGGGGGGAGGGTGCCGCCCCCCCTCCCTGCGCACGCGCACGCACGCCGGGACGCCCACGCGCGGGGGAACACCCCCCCCCGAGCGTCTGTGTACGAAAAAGGCGGGAAACGCTGAGGCGGCTCGAGCTTGGGAAGGGCGGGGCGGGGCAAAGGCGGTCGCCTCAGGGGAGACGTTCTCTTCACACACGCACGCACACAAGCCCCGCCCACTTTTTGCGGGGTTGGGAGGCCCCCAGGTGATCATGGGCTTCTAATTGCAACTAAGGGTGGGAAATGAGCGTGATAAAAAAATAACAATAACAGCAATAAAAATAATAATACAGGCTTCCCACCATGATTGGGAGCCCCGAATTTATGTCACTAAGCGAGACACATTTCTTTTTTGCACCATTTTACAACTTTCCTTGCAGCAGTTAAGTGAATTGTTGGGGGGGGGGTTAAGTTAGTGACGTGTGAACCTGGCTTCCCTGTTGGCTCTGCTT